CTGTTCATTCTCACACCTATTTAATAAAAGATTCCACATCAGATTCAAAGCTTCTTTCCTCACTATACAGCATAGGCCCACGCTCACACAGAGATGGTTTATTTTCATATACTTTCTCCTCTTTGCTCTCTTCCCTTTGGGAAGCATATGCTGAAGGAGGTTTCCTTACTGCAAAGAGCTAGACATTAAAACCATCTGGAGTCTTTAACAACCACCATGACTCTTGATTTAACTGGACTGGACGGGGCCAGAGCACGGGTTTTGCTCGATTTCCCAGGTGATCCCAGGTACACCCCGGGTTGATACTGCTTCCCCTAATTGGCTATAACTGCATCCTGGTAAGTGGTTTATGGGTTTCAATGCACAGTGGCAACCCTCACTAGCCCAGAGAACCAGGGGCTTACTTCTGAGCGCTTTTCCGAGTAGCAGTCCTCTAAGATTTGCGTTAGCTCTATTCTGGCTGATCACCGATTAGTGGCATCACCATCACACTTAGCTGTTGCACCTGCCTTTTATGACCCTGTTCCCACACATAGCTGCGGAGGTCTTCTAGTGCCCAATTCATCAGTTCTCGAGTTGGGAGGTGTCCCGTCCGTTCAGGCGCCACATGTCCTGACCCAGGGGTGGGGGGACAGTCGAACAAGTTTCCTGAGTGAAGGAGTGAGAGCCGGGACAAGTAGCATAGTGTTACAGCACGGAGACGACACCGTGTCTTCAGTGTCGTCTGTTTATTGTGGGCAGCACGGTACAGCACGGAGACAACGCAGTGTCGCAGCTCTTAAGGGTCGCGTCATCTACTGTGAGCAGCACCGAAATGACACAGTGTCACAGCTCTTCAGGGTCGTCCAGAGACAATGTAGTGTTGCAGTTCTTCAGGGCCTCCCAGGTCATCTAGAGACGATGCAGTGTCAGCTCTTCAGGGTCTTCAGAGTTGTCTGGAGACTGTGCGGTGTTTCAACTCTTCAGGCTCTCCTGGTCGTCGTCTTCCTGGTCGTCTGTGTCATCTTCCTGGTTGTCTGTGTCATCTTGCTGGTCGTCTGGCTACTGTGGGCCAGGAATCGTGGTTATATACATGCTGGTGGGTTGTAAATGGTGGGCCGTGATTGGTTGTAAATGGTGGGCCATGATTGGTTATAAATGGTGGGTTATGATTGGTTGCTTTTGGACCAATCATGAGGTGCTGGATATGCAAATTTGAGGGATTCTAGTGGCCAATCAGAGCGAAGTTTTGAAGGTCAGGTTTTTTGAAGGGAACCAATCATGGCAATTGTTTGCTCTCTTGAGAAACCTCCGCAGACTCGCTGGTGCGCAGCCTCCCACAGGGAGGGCCCCTCTTCAATATCCCTCTGCCTCATGGACCCAATTTCATCTTGCTCTGTTCTAGAGCGGATGAGCTCATTTGCTGGGTATACACAAATCTAACCAGAGGAAAATGCTGGTTTCCCTTCCCTGCAAACGTTTTGAGTTATTCCCTCAGGTCTCCTTCCTGTGGTTTCTGAGAGCACATTTCCCTCCCTGTGGGGAAAAGCACAAAGGGCTAAATTCCATTTCCTAAACTAACAATGCACTCCTCTAACAGGGGACCTCTCCTTGGGTGTTCTGTGGAGTGGCAGTCCGTGATTGTTCGGAAAGGCCTGTAGTGTTCGCTGGTCCTGACCACTGAGTTCTCTGATCCTAGAATGTAGGACTTGCCTCCCTTTAACCTCAGCTTTGGCTTTATTCCAGAACAGAAATATCCCATTAGACTTCTATTACAAATTATTTACCTCCACAACTTAGGTTAGTCCCCTAGAAGTTGATTGAGATGCCTATGCAAATGATCTAAGAAGGTGATTAGTAAAAAGTGAGAGTAGGTCAGGGAAGGGGGGAAAGTCAAGCAAAGGGGTCATTCTGGCAAACTGCATTGAGACTGATTTCAGCACGGTTCCTCCCAGAAGTTCTGCACTGTAACTAGCCTGTGGTAAGGAACCAGGCTCTACCACCACCAAGTCAAGGAGCACTTCAGGCCGATCACCCACAGGTATTGTATACCAGCATTAGAGTGTGCATGGTGGGAGGAGGCTGGGGCTAGTAGGTGGCATGGTAGTTAAGGTGTTGGGACTCCCACATGGCCAACCGTGACTCAAGTCCTGGACCTGGTGACCTGCTTTTTCCCTTTCCCTCTCTGGTGAGCATATGTGCCTTACAGCAAACTAAAAACAAAAACAACTAACAATAATAAATAATTTTTAAAAATTAGAAAAGGGTGAAAAGTGTTCTGAGGAATCTTGGGTACCACTCTTTTTTTTTTTTTTTTTGAGTACCATGTTATGGAACAAGCTAGAAAGTGTCACTTGTCCCAAGACCTCACTAGTAACAGTGCTGCTACTAACAAAGCATCAGACATTTAGGTTACACCAACTGCTTGATTTAATGCTTAATGAAATGTTAAGGATATAAAGTGAAAATGAAAAGAACAGCAAACTTTAAAGACTGAAGTAAGCCTGGCCCTCCTTCCAGCCCAACACTCAGTGAAAAGCTAGAATCCACATGCATCTGAGGTGTGCTTTCCCTGCCCCTTTAGCTGGAAAAAGCCTCTGCCCCAAACCCCTCCTTCTAGCCCAACACTCAGAGAAAGTCATGTAGGAAGTGATGTATAATCCAACAGATGACCAAAAATCACCACCACAGAGGCACAAGAAATATGGGAAATCAAGAAAATATCTCTCCCCCCCAAGGGCAAAGAACAGCCTTCATTATCCACAGACAGAAAAATGGAACTCCTGGGGATGTCAGATAAAGATTTTAGTATATTCATAGTGACCAAGCTAACAGAGATACAAGAGAAGAGAGACAATGAACTCCAAAAGATGCAGGAAAAAAGAGACGAGTTCCAGGTGAGGAAGTTCTTATAGGATCTGAAAGAGAAAATACACACCATAAAAAAGAATCAAATGGAACTGTTAGATATGAAGGTTGTAATACAGGAAATCAAAACCTCCCTTGAAAGTAGTAAAAGCAGATTAGATCATGCAGAAGATTGACTCTCAGATATAGAAGGTAGAACCTCTGACCTAGAAAAATTCACCAAAAAGACTGAGAAAATAACCCCCCCAAATGGGAATAACATACAAGAAATACTAGATACCATTAGATACCCAAACATCCAGATAGTTGGTATCCAGGATGGTGAAGAAACTAATAATGGCATTGATAATCTATTCCATGAAATCCTGGAAGAAAACTTTCTAAACCTAGAGAGGCACTCAAATATCCAGACCCAAGATATACAAAGGACCCCACAGAGAATCAACCCAAGATCTTCTCCAAGACATATCATAGTCAGATTGACCAAAACCACAGACAGATAAAATACTAATATTGGCAAGAGAAAAATGTCAAGTTACTTTCAAAGGATATCCCATCAGGCTAACATTGGACCTCTTGTCGGAAACAATTGTGGCAAGCAAGGCAAGAATGGGAAAAAAAAATATCCAAAGTGTTAAATGAAAAACAATTTCAACCAAAAATACTGTACCCAGCAAGATTATCCTTCATGTGGGAAGAAAAGATAAAAACATTCTCATTCTCAGATAAACAAAACCTGAAATAATTTACCAACACCAGAACAGCTTTTTGAGAAGTTCTGAAGGGAGTCCTATACCAGGAAAAGTAAAGACAGACAAGTAAGAGAACAAAAAATGACCAAGAGAAAAGCCAACTTAATGATAGGGACAAGTTCTGAAATATCAGTAATTTTGAATGTTAAAGGAAAGGTCAGATCATGGTAACACTGCAAATTCAACAAAAGAGATTATAGATCGAACTGGTGAAATAGAATTCTATGACTTTTTTCTAAAATATGATTGATTTTCTTCTAGTGCTTTGCCTTCCATATTCGAGGATTTTTCTTTTGAGTTACTGGGTTCAGCAATTCACTGAAGAATTTTTTAAATTGAAACAAACTTTTCTCCCTTCCTGACCTCTTTGCAATTGGAAAATATTTATGAGCATTCTTATTTTGTGGCAGAATGGTTATTTGCCTAAGTTCAATGAGACGGTAGTATCTGTTGCCTTGTATCAGAAATTGAATTCTTATGGGGCTTTGTGCAAGTAACAGACCAAATTGAGATTAACCAATTTTTTTTTCCAAATAAATTAGTTTACACCTCTCTTTAGTAAAAGGAGGAATGGAGAGGGAAAAACAAAACAAAACAAAAAAAATTTTCAGAAGAAAATTGCAGTGCATTTGTCACTAGCTTCTAGCTTTGTCCATACTTTAAGATCTTTTGTGAATTAATAAAATGTGGAAAAAAAAAACCCCACAAAAACACAAAAGTTTAGTATGGAAGGGAAGGAGGGGAAAGGGGAAGGAAAAAAATGGTAAAAGTATGCTTAACTGACAAAAAAATGAAACTATTTGCTGATAATAATGTATATAGTAACATCCTTGACTGACATGCATGGTTTTTGTGTTGAAAAAGAAACTTATACTATAAAGACATGTGATAAAACATAAAAGAAAAAAAAAAAAGATGGGGGCCAGCTGGTGGCCTGGTCGTTAAGGGCACTGGAGTCCCACATGGCCGACTGAGGTTTGAGTCCTGGATCTGATGGCTTGTCTTCTCTCTCTGTCTCCTCTGGTCAAATTAAAATAAGTAAATAAATAACGTTAAATAAAATAATTCTTAAAAAAAAAAAAATAAAAAAAGGCTGATGTAGGCCTGAAGGGAAAAAACTGTTCTCTTGGTTTTGAGCCTCAATCTCTCTAAATACAACTGCTTTTTTGGCAAGCAGTCACCTGCTTTAGAGGTTCATTTTCTTCAATGCTATTTCTGAAAGACACACAAAGTCACAAGATCCCCAAAACACTGTTTATTTTCACACACAAAATGTGCCATCTAGCACCAATGCCTGTAAATACCAGAATTCTATCCAGTTACTATTCTTTGGAACTCCTTGACAGACTGTTTATGTGAGCCGATGATTATCATGATACCATAGAAAGAGATGACACAATAATCATTTGGTAAATGTATACAAAATTACATTTGTATTCAAAACTTTTTCACTGTTTCATGTAGACAAGTTAACTTAATACCACTGTGTTTTAAGCCAGATTTTCCATGAAGAAAAGTACATAACCACATAAGTTCATAAACCTGAAAATGAATTTCTATGCTTATTTCATTCTCAAATGAAAAACATTATAAAGATACCTTTTGTTTCTCCCATCTCCTGATTGGTTTTCTTAGCAACTCACTATAGTACAACTTACTATTTAAACCACACAGAATGTATGATGGAGGAAAAGAACAAAACTTTGGCCAATCTAAGTTTATAAGGCAACATTTTTTTTTTAAAGTAAAAGGATGTTTAAAGGTATTTTAAAAGAAAGTAGGAGACACATATGATAAAAACTACTGCATTAAGTACAAAATGAAAACCCTTATTTATCTTTTAGTCTAACTAAAATTTACTGATTTGAATTTAAAACATTTTTATATACAGTTGGCCCTTGAACAACAGTTTTGAGCTGCATGGGTACACTTATAAGTAAATCTTTTCAATATATATTGTAAATTCATTTTCTCTTTCTTATGATTTTAAGATTTTTTTTCCAGCTTACTTTATTGTAAAAATAAAGTATATAATACAAGTAACATACAAAATATTGTGTTAACTGACTGTCATTGGTAAGGCTTCCAGTCAATATTAACATTATGCTATTAATAGTTAAGTTTTGAAGGAGTCAAAAGACACCAAATTTTGATTGAGGGGGTCAGCGCCCCTAATACCTGCATTGCTCCAGGGTCAACTGTAGTTAATAAGTATCTCTTTTTACAAATTCAATCACTTTATCTCCAGTCTCCTAAACGTATGTCAAGTCAACAATGCTGCTTCATATTTTTGGCAGATTTGCAGCTAACTTTCATAACAACTTTTATTTGAATGACCAATTCCCAATGTTTGTTTTAGACAGAACTTGATGCTGAGCTAAGTAACCTAAGTTGGATTTCAGGGCCCTTGACAGGCAGGCAGGCAGGCAGGCAGTTAGTTTTCATACTGCAGGCAGCTCATGATGGTTGTCATCTATGTATCGATCTTGAAGGACATGCTGGAAAATTCAGTGAACACAATCTTCCCATGCTGTATTCACAGGCTCCGTTCACATCTTTAGTTTATCCGGATTGTTAAAGGCTTGGGTGAGACATCTAAATTCTCATGATGGACATTTCTATTAAAAAAAAACAAAACTCAAGACCATTTCTCATCACCCAGTATGTATTTATTGAGTACTTACTACTAGATATTATGCTCAGTAGTGGCTAAATGAAGCAAACAAACAAAAAACAGATGCACTGGACATTCTCAAAATTAAAAACACTGGGCTTCAAAGGACATACTATCAAGAAAATAAAAATACAGAATGGGATAAAGTATTTGCAAACCATGTATCTATAAGTTTCTAGTAAAATATTAAAGATCTCTTTCAACTCAACAGTAAGAAATTTGAAAATGGGAAAAGCATTACTCTAAAAACAGGAAAATATACTCAACATCATTAGTCATTAGGGAAATAAAAATAGTGAGATACTACTTCACATTCCCTAAGATGGCTATAATCAAAAAGACAATAATAAATGTTGGTGAGGATGTGGAGAAACCGAAAACTTCAAAACTGCTGGGTGGGAATGTAAAATGGTATAGCAGCTTTGGAATACAGTTTAGCAAGTCCTCAAAGATTTAAAAGTAAAAAAGTTAGAAGTTCCTATGTAACCTAGTAATTCCACTCTAGGAATATACCCAAGAAATACGAAAACATGCTCACATAAAAACTTTTACATGAATGCTCACAGCAGCATTATTTATTATAGTCAAAAGGTGGAACTAGAGGGGACCAGCAGGTGGCATAGTGGTTAAGGCGCTGGACGCTCCCACATGGCTGACCACGGTTCAAGTCCTGGACTTGGTGGCTTGCTTTCTCACTTATCCTCTCTGTCTCTGTCTCTCTATGGTCAAATTAAAATAAATGAATGGGTAAATAAAATTAAATAAATAACTCATTAAAAAAGTGGAACTAGAATGCCATCATTTAAAGGATGTATGAATATGTCATATCCATTCAAAGGAGTATTATTCAGTCATAAAAAGGAGTAACGTGCTGACATTGCTATGTGAATGAACCTTAAAAGCAGTGGTTGGGGGACCAGCAGTTAGCGTAATGGCTATGTCGCTGGACTCCCACGTAGTCGACCGCAGTTCATGTCCTGGACCCGGTGGCTTAAAACTCACGCCGGGTGCGTGTGCGTGCGTGCCCAAGATCCCAAGAGGAGAATGGAGGAGAAGGGATTGTGGCATGACCATCCCCCCTGGGGGGTGATTTCTCGCTTTCTATCTCTCTGTCTCTCTCTGTCTTTCTGGTGAACGCACGCACCCTATAGCAAAAACCTCTCCAAAAAAAGAAAAAGAAAGCAGTGCTTGGGACCAGCAGTTAGTGTAATGGCTATGTCGCTGGACTCCCATGTAGTCGACTGCGGTTCGCGTCTCGGACCCGGTGGCTTAAACTCACGCTGGGCGCATGTGCGTGTGTGCCCAAGATCCCAAGAGGAGAATGGAGAAGGGATTGTGGCGTGGTCATCCCCCTGGGGGGTGATTTCTCGCTTTCTGTCTGTCTCTCTGTCTGGCGAGTGCACGCGCCCTAGTAAAAACTTCTCAAAAAGAAAAAAAGAAAAAAGCAGTGCTCAGTGGAAGACACAAAAAGACCACATAGTATGTGATTCCACTTACATGACCTGTGCAGAATAGACAAATCTGCAGAGACAGAGATTAGTCGTTGCCAGAGGTTAGGGACAGTGAGGAATATGAAATGACTACTAAACGGTAAAGTGTTTCTTTTTTGGGTAAGAAAAACATTTATTTATTTAATGAGAAAGGGAGAATTTATTAGTGTGGTCACACTGGAAGGACATCTAAGAATATCAACTGGTCAGATACCTTGCAACTGCTTTCGTAAGGGCAGGGGTCCCCTGCTTTTAAATATTGATCTATAGAATACATAGAAAGGTGGGGGCCAGCAGATGGCATCGTGGTTAAGGGTACTGAACTCCCACATGGCCAATCGTGGTTTGAATCCTGGACCTGGTGGCTTATGTTCTCACTTTTCCCCTTTCTCTCTCGCTTTATCCCTCTTGGGTAAAATGAATGAATGAGTAAATAAAATAATTCTTTAGTAAATTCTACCATATAATGGGCTTTAGTTAAAATCATATCCCTTAAAGCATAAAACATTTATTATTTGTCTTTATATCTCTAGCACAATTATCACATAAATGTTACTTGACAGAATTATTAATCCCATTGCTCCCCCTTTTCTTTCTTTTCTTTATTTATAGACCACAGATTGGTTTATTTTTAACACCCATCATGCCATGAATTCATAGGGAATAGGTTCCAGTAACTCAGGCTCCTTTCCATTGGTTCTCACAAAGTGTGCTTCTCTGGGTGGAGCAGGCTGGCGCTTTAGTTGAACCCAGGTACCTTTCTCTTTGGCTTCTTTCTTTTTCTGGTCATTTTCCTTCACACGTTTTAGGAAGCTATCTCTGCTCTTAGAATGCTTCATATGCTTAATACGCACATTAATTCTCTTGGCAAGAATCTTGCCCTTAACTTGTTTGTTCACAACAATGCCAACAGCATGCTGGGTAACACTGTAGACTTTTTCAGTTTTGCCATGGTAACATTTTTGGGGCATTCCTTTTTGAACAGTACCCATTCCCTTAATGTCTACAATATCACCTTTCTTGTAGATTCACATATATGT